CCGTTCATACATGTTGTCAGCCTCCTTGGAAGTGGCTACATAGAGATGGCAACGGATTAGTCCCACTATGACTTCAGGGAACGTCCATTCGTCTTTCTCTCGGTTGTAATCCTGGACTTCCTGATAGAACCATTCGGTGGCATCGCCTTCAAAATATTTAGATATGAGTAATACGTGCTGGCGATCATAGTTATCACGCCCTATGCCCATGAGGTCGAAGTCTGTCAAAATGTCTGACAGCCACTTTTCAAAGAAACGTATATCCGCCCTGCCATCATATAACCTTTTGGCGGCCGGCTTAAAGTTTCGTGTCTCCGGAGTATAGGGCGCAGCCCTTTGACGCGCACTACGTATCGTCATCAACGCTTTTTCTACGAGTTCGTCTTCGTATTCGTGCGCGGGAGTAGCTGCTCGCTGCCAATTACGACGCCCGATATTCCTGGGATTGTCATCGTTATCTCCATTGTCATCAGAGGGATCATCCCCAGGAGGGTTTCCACCTCCTCCTGGTGGATCTCCTCCGCCCCCTCCGCCCCCTGCACCACCTGTAGGTACTACCACAGCGACTCGTCGTTGACGTCGACCTGAGTTATAAGAGTCTTCTGGGCCTCCTCCGCCTCCTCCCCCGCCTCCGCCTCCGCCGTCACCACCAGAGCCACTTGTAGGTTGTCCTACAGGCCTACGGTCCGGTGGAAGCGGTCTACGGCCATTGTCTGGAGGTAGGTGAGGAGGACGGTCTCGACGGTCATCATTACCTCGTCCGCGACGATTGTCATCACCATCATCGGAGGGGTCGCCGCCTGGATTGCCGCCATTGGCACCTCGCGCAGCATGCATGTACGGTACTAGTGCAGTGGGCTGAGACATATTCCTTTGCCGTACGTCATTAGTTTGATCGAGGCGAATTGTACTGCCATCAATCTCGTTTCCGTGGGCCACAGTCCCAATGGCCTGAGGCTCATTAGAGTAGCCCCTCGTCGCAACGGTTCGACGAATGTTCACGTCCTGAGAGGAGGTCGAGTGGACACTTGCCTGACTAGCCTCTCTTGTCACGTTGTGACTATTTTGGTTCGACGTAAGTGTTTGCATCGAGGAGGGCACTTCTGGAGTTACTCCCTCCAGCTTCAGGGGACGGATGTGGTCGGGGCTCGATCCTATGTTCCGTCCATTCTGAGCAGCGTCATAATCGACAGTGAATTCGTCGGGCCGCACTCTGTGCTGGCTCTGGTCACGCTGTCGATTTCTGGGTGTTGGCTGACTGGGAGGGTTGATCAGCCGTTGTACGGCCGCCACCCTACCATCAAACGTAGCCTGATCTTCATTCGGCTGACGGGGAGCAAATAGTTTACCAATGGATCGCTGAATAACAGGATCTGTTTGCCAGTCCGATACCATGACCGTATCGCCGATGTATTGCGTCCATTCTGCCGGACCCAGATGGCCAATCCCACTTCGTTGAGTTGGGATTTGGTCCATTGGTGTATTTACTGGAGCGGGCGGGGGCTCTGCTCCTCGGCGTGAGCCTTGCTCATCTGCCGGGGCGGCTCCTCCTGTCCTCGCCGTAATACTATGATCTTGAACAGCGTTGGCGTTCTCTGCACCAGTTTGTCCGGTCACAGGGAAATACCAAACGAACCTGGCATTTTTCCGAAGAGCGCTTGTGTATGGGTGGATACGCTCCATGCGATAGTCCCCGGTTGGCGGGGGATGCGGTAGTCCTGGCAGTCCGAATGGTGGCTGTCGAGCTGCTATTGGTATGGGAGCCAGCTCCGCAATAGGCATCTGCACCGGGTCGATCTGCGCGCCAACGTTTTGCTGAACGTTGGGGCGAGTATCAGGTGGACTAGGAATAGCCCGCGATGACGAGTTCGACTCGTGCGACGGACGTGGGGTGGCAGGTCGTTCTCTCAGCGGATGCATCGTAGCGTGTCTAGCGGTCGGAGACCTCGTCTCGAGTTCGCGTTTTACACGTCGAGCCTCCATACGATCGAGGTTAGCCGTGAGCGAGTTAATGGCTTCCGCACCTTTATGCATAGTCCGTCGTACACAGTCCCCTTCGTCCATATTAATCTCCCGATTCCTACTTGCAGCCTCAGTTCGAACTGTATCCCTAAACCAGTCCAACTCCTCTTCCAATTGTTCGACGATCGCCGAAATCTCCTCGTAGGAATTCGAGGTCAGTGCCTGCATCGACAGTTGGTGGATGATCCTGTCGGTTCAGCCTGCAGCTTCCTCTATACGGCTAGCTGGCCAAACGCCGGATGCGCCTCGCCGATTTGGCCTTGCTGGCATGAATCGTGCTGGGGTCGATGCAGGGCGGAACGGTAATCGCGCCGCTTGGCCATCGATGAATGTCGGCGGGTCTGGGAATGAGTTCGAATCCATAGAGTATTGTTTTTTGTTCGATTTTTTGAGTAATAGATGGTATCTGTGTACCTATGCGATAAGTCGCGAACAAACAGTAGTTTTTTGAACGCGGTGAGCATTTAAAAAAGTGTAGAATCTCCGTAGTCAGTACAGTTAGCTTGTATCACACACACACCAATAAACAGAACCTTGTCTTATTGCGAGAGATACAAGATAGGTAATTGAGCTAAGCAGATTCAGAGGTAGTTGTTGTCTAACGATCCGCCTGCCCAATCCGTCCATCTATCACTCAGTAACCAAACACGTCCAAACTCGGCGCCACTCAGTGGCGCCCACCTTACAAAGTCATTCTGATCTCCTGCAGTTCAAGTCTCCTTATAGCGACATGCTACCAGCAATCACCTCCCACAGCTGCAGGATCGTTTCAATGCTGGTCCAAGCTACTGTCAGATGATTTCTCCCAGTGGAGGGGATGATTCCACTTACCTTGTACTTAGCCTATTCCACATGCGATGCTCTAAGACACTCATGCTCTGGAATCGACCAGCCTCTCGGCGCACAACAAGGAAATTGACACTCAGGTCAATGTAGTAATACACGTGAAATCGAATCATGTCCATGTGATTGAGGACATGGACCTCTATAGTGTGGATTTGGTGTCCTCGGGGTGCACCCAGAGCGGCCCTCACATCTGGCAAGCCTCGGAATCAGTGCAGTCTTCGAGTCTCTGAGTGATGATCGCTTCTGTATAGTTAGCAACGGATGTGCTTCATCTGGTGTGGCTGTAATGAGAGTGCAGGATATCAATGTTATCGCTCTGCACTCGTGCTCCGAGTGCTTACCATGTCTACAGATGATCTGGGAATGGGTTGATACTGCGTGTCGGCTTCGTTTTATGCCCTTCACCTCTTTGTCATTGGAAGAGGTTGTTTCTAGTGATCTGTTCAAATGCGGCAACAACACCTACAGAGGCAACATGCTACTCTTCGTGTTCTCTTTGTGTTACGTACAATGGGGAAGACACCACTCATGACTTAGAACAATGAAGGCATGAATCAGCCCTGATCATTAGGCTTGGAACAAAGCAATGCTACTTGCGACCGCACAAGTGGCAATCATGATTGTATACACGTGTGCATGCTAAGTGGATTTTCATACACCAAATGTCCTCCTCATACCGCATTCATCCGCTGGAAGATATGGAAGTAGACAAAGCCGGCACACCACCTCGACCTCCTCCAAAGCTGCACTCTGGGCAGCCGCTGTTGAATGCAACAAAGTCTGTACCTCCTGCCGGCCAGCCGTCGAATGCCCCAAAGTCTGTACGACCTGCTGGCCAGCTGTCGAATGTACCCAAGTCCGTACCACTGGCCGTGCAGCCACAGTTGAATATATCGAAGTCTGTACTGCCTCCTGGACAGCCGTTGTCGAATATACCAACATCTGGACTGCCGGCGGAGCAGCAGCCATCAAATGTAGCAAAGTACAAACAACAACTAGATGATACGCCAACCCCACAGCCAGCATCAACATCTAGTGTGCGAGTGAGGGTGCAGGAGGCGGACTTCTCTGCCACATACCGCATGGAGATGGAGAAGGCCCATGCTCAACTGCGGCAGGAACAGGAGAAGGCAAAGGTGCGAATTCTCATGTACCGCAGGTCATTAGCAGTGCTGACTTCCAACATCTGGGGTTAATAGAGAGACAGGGAAGAGCTGATTGCTATGGTACGTGAAGAGAGGGATCGGGCGCATCTTGAACAAGAGGCTTGGAAGCGAGAAATGGCAGAAAGCCGGAATCATATGTCTGAGATGATGAAGGTAAGTTTTATCACGACTAGGGAAGCCGTTATGTCCTGACATTACATCTCTGAAGTTTATAAAAACACGGCAGGAGGCCGAGAACGCAGCTGCAGCGCAGGTAAGCCTGTAATTAATGCGAATCTTCAAGGCCATACTTATGTGTCCATTGGTAGATGCAAGCGGTGAAGTCAGCACTGGTTGAAGCAGAAGTACACCTAATCTATTGTGCTGATACCCCAAGTCTCATTTGAATGCAGGCATGAAGTCAGCGCGAGCTTGACAAGCTCCAGGTGATGCAGGCCGCACTTGACGAATCGGAGGTAAGGCCCCCTCTGGCACATCATTTCCTCACACCACTGCAGGCACGGAGGGAGCGTGAGCTTGCCGAGTTGGAGGTACAGTGCCACACCACTTCATTCTCATGAACATGTACTTACTGTACGATAGGCAAAGAGGCAGTCTGAACTTGCGCAACTCATGGCTAAGATAACTGGATCGCTTAGCACTGGTACTTCAGCTCCTCGAGGGGAGCCTGAGTCTGCCGAAACAGAAGCCAGCCCCGCTGGCTCTGGTCATAGGGCTCCTCTTCCCCCACAACTTCTTCTGGAGGGTATCAGTTAACCAAGAAAGAACTTCGCAACCTTCACCACAATGGCAGGAAGAAGAAGGGCATCTGGCAGACCCTTCATGCTCTCAATTCTGGAAGTGTATGTGCTCAGTGGGATACATTGTTGTGATCATCTAAAATGGCATGTTGTGCAGGAGTCAGAGCATCCTGCACCTTAGGCTTCGACAACTGCTGCTCCACCTGCCCCACCACTAGGCCTTTTGACATTGGCAGCAGAGCTCAAGAGATGAACAGATCAGGCTCTTGAGGAGGCTCTCGAGGACGTTCTGGAACAGTTCACTTCTGCTTCGCCTGGTTCATCACAGACAGTAAACTATCGACCGCAAAGAACCCCTTGGCGCAAGCGGGCCAGCGCTTTGACTGAGACAAAGGAAGAGTACAACAAACTGAAGGAGAAGAATCCGGAGGCACATAAGGACTACCTGGTATGCTCATATGACCCGTATGTAACTCAGCGTCATCTAATGGATTGGGGAATTTTCAGGATCTTTGCAGAGAGGCTGTCTGCAAGTCTTTTGATATCAAGACAGATAGCGACATTGCTCTTCGTCCACGAGCTGACCCACTGGCAGTGGATGCGTACAATGATGGGGGTCCCAACAGCCCTGATGCCAACAACTTATATGTTGATATGAGGGCCGCAGTCAAGGATTCCCGTTGGAACCAATGGCTGGTCGAGATCCTCATAGACAAGGCCCATGATCTATGCCAACAGTGACTAGAAAGACGTGTTCCCATGGAGGCGCAGCCTGATTGGTATGTCAAGTTCATGCTGATGAATAGGGTTGACCACCTTCGCGCTGGGTGGTGGTCAGTACTGCCCAAGCATGACAGAGACGGTGTCAAGACTCAGGACGAACATCGCACCCGCCTGCAGGACAAATATGGAGGTATCCATAAGAAAGTGCGGGTAAACACCCGGCGCTGTGGGGTACACGCATTCCATCACATGGTGGGTATCCCGGTTCCGCGAAAGGCATCAAAGCAAGATAGAGGTCGAAAACATCACTTCGGCTTGTGCCACCAGGGACAGGGTAACTCTGCGGAGCTGAATACTCAGAATACTTCAATTTAGTTTCCTTCCTGTGCACAGTGTTGAGCTCAGAGTTCATTACATACGGTAGAACGTACGAGTATCTCACACTGTCCACTGCGGCATGCTCCACAATTGTCTGAATTAATTGGTCCCAGTGAAAGCGATATGTGGCTTCATTGTGCACCATGGTGAGCTTCTCATCTTCAGCCTTATCCTTGTTGGCATTGACAGGGCCAATCAAACGAACAGCTTGCACCACCTGGAAGACCCCATGCAATGATCGTTGGATAATACTTTCAACACTAGGGGTCATGTAGCCAATGAAACAAGTCAAATAGCGTGCGTAGCCGTCAAGAAGTTCGGCAAGAAGCTGTTCTTGCTCAGTGCATATATGGCGCCTTATAGTCTGGAAAATCATCTGTGAGCAGAAGCGCCATAGTCGATATGCAGGGTACACACTGGCTCAGCGCCTGTGAACCCTACTGGTGCTATACTGTAAATGGATTCCTTTGGAACAGTGCACAAGCTGGAAAATCCTTCGAGCGCATCACAGAATACAACCTTTCGCACTACAAAATATCATTGGGTGGCGCAGATTGTCCTTTCTCTTCACAAATCTATGAAACATCACAATCAATGGTCACATACTGCAATTGGACGGAAATAGAGCTGGACTAACGTCGAGGTGCTGAGGAAGCTGAGATCCGCCGCGAAAGGATTAACCAATTGCATGAATCAGCTTGCCCGCGAGACACTCACAATTTAACCGATCCAGTCGCAGAAGTACTGCTTTCAGACTGAGTACGCTTTCGTGAAGGCCTGCAACAATATTCAGCATTGTTGAGTCAGCAGTCACGGCCAGCTTACTGTGTATTTGCTTTGGGCAGTCCCTTCGCAATGGACTGGCTGGACCGCGCCGTTGGGGTTGACATCGATTGGGAGTCAGACTCCTGAGCAGCCTTTCCCGCTCCTTGTGCTCTTTCAGGTGCATCTCTCTGGCTGCCTTTGTTGCTCGTGGGCACGCGTGGCCTTTATGATTGTATCAGATGAAGCAGATCATGATACGAAGAGGGAAGGCCTCACTGCATAGATTTCTGCTTTGACTTGGGCGCCATTTCCACACTCCGATGGGTGTTAGAAGGGAACGACAGGAGGTTACTACCGCAACACAAGACTCACTGGGGAACCATTGCTTCAAATACCGCTTCAGCCCAGAGCGTTATCGCCTCACGGCTAGAATAATCAGTGTGGGAGAGTTGCGGGTCATCGAGAATACCACGGGGGCAGAAGTCTGCTCGCCACGGTAAAACCTTATCTGCGGAAGACTGTTCGGAAAGAGAAGCAGAACGATACAACAGCAAGGCTAGCGTCAGAGCACTTAGCGGGTCACTGAAGTTGAATGGTGTTGGAGGGCAGATATGAATATGTGAGAAAGACTGTCAGATGTCTAATACTGGAGTCTATATTCACAATACTATATATGCAGAAATACAAGACAAGATTGTCTACCATTGATCAAACTATCATCCTGAAGTCCGAGAGAAATGAACAGGACGTACCTAAAGTCAATCATAGAATGGTACGGGGAGGATGGTACCAGCTCAGATGATATGGATGATGAGACGAACAGATATCGCATCCGCTGCATGCCTTGGCGGCGAAATATCGAGAGGGAGTTGAAGATTGTCGATGATCAGCGGGACACCAATGGTATCAAGGACAGTCGTGGCTCCAAACCAGCACCCAAGTTTTGCAGGGGCCCATGTGGGACGACCCAGCAACAGCCACTTGCAGGACATCCTTCAAGCTTCTATGATTCACAGTGGCTTGACGATCCACAGCATGGAGTATTGCACAAGGAGAAGTTCAGTCCTTCTAACGAGGACTTCCAATGGATGGTTTTAGTGTCAGGTTAAGTAATATACTACAATGATGTATGTATATACTGCGCAAAAATACCCTGTCCATGATTTCCCCTTACGTATGGATGACCCTGTACAGGGCAGATATCTGACTTGCAGAAGATTCGGATGGTGTACAAGTCTGCCATGGCCATATTAGAGTATCCCCTTTCCAATGGTTCATCAAACTTCAGAATCAGTTCATTATGTGTTGCCGAGGTGTACATAGGACGAGTCGAAAGAGGACAACAGTTAAATACATGAACAATGACAGTAAGATCAATGGCAGGGGACCTGAGGCCGAGTTCTGTATTCAACTGGAAGAGGATGATATCACAGGTGACTACAAGTTCAAGCCGGCAGGATGGTGTGCATGAGCCAGAGGAGCGGCCAGCAGGCTCAGAGGCATGATGCAAATGAGAGGCGGCAAAGGCCAGAACTGGCATAGGGAAGTGTGAGGAAAGTAGGACGATCCTTGGACTATGTCGCAAGGCTCATGAAGGACCAGAATCAGTCCTTGGACGATGTCGCAAGGACAACAAAGAGATAGAGACCAATCCTTGGACAGTGTCGCAAGGATTAGTTTGAGGAGAAAGAAGGGAGAACGCACACAATATCAGCTTTTGGGTGGCTGTGCCAAAGCCACAGTCAAGCCACGGTATCAGTAGACTTGGGAAGTATTCGGCACTGCGCGGCACAGCCAGGTCCGATTCCTCGTAAGGTAAACAAGTGGCAAGGGTTCTACAAGTAGGTAAATAGTCTTTCTAGCCTCCCGGGCGCTGCGTGGCATCAAGAATACTCCTAGTTATTATATGTTGATCTCAGTGATACTAAATCATATAAGTTCATAACTCTCAAACATAACTGTGTGTGGCTAGAACCTTCAATCATCCTATACTCGGTGTCAACTACAGTTATTTCAATACACAATACACTATTTACTTCAGTACTACACTCGGGTAGCATTACTATCGAGTCACCCGATCAGTGCACATGCATACTGTAGCTGAGATGCACGTTGTCAGGCTCAGGCCTCAATGCTGCCAGTACTATGCCTCGTATGTAACTTACCAATCTTGTGCCGTAGGCAGCAGGGTACTTGCCATCGGCGCAATTCCACACACAGCCGGGGGATGCCTGACAGTGCCATTGGCCCGAGATCTTGAAAGGATCGTGCCGTGCAGAGGCCACACTACATATCTGGAATTAGTCCCTATTCACAAATGGTAATTATTGACATGAGAGGTAATAGCTCCTATTTGCTGATGGTGGTAAGATTTGGTTCAGTGGACCTTCCATTTAAGGAGGGTGCTCACATTACAGTTAAGGTAATTTGGGCTATAAGGGGTATACCCCCTGTTCAACGCTGGCAATTTTTGATCACCAGAGAGCCCTATACAACGACTGAACAGTAAACCGATTCTAGGGGAATCGGAAGAAGCCGCTGCATGGCAATTCTCACGAGCACAGCCACCACAACCTGCTGTTCAGTGATCGTCCTTTCTCGCTTTGTTCTCTACGAATCCTTGCTATGTTGTCCTAGGATTCGAGCTTTCTTCTCTATACTGATCCTTGCGACTCTGTCCGAGGATTGGTCTGTTGCTATTGCATAGCTGCCTTGCCTCGCCACACCAGCTTTGCTGCCACGACCAAGGATACGTGTTTTGCTAG